GCCAATCATCCAAGAAAGCATGCACTAGCCTTCTTTTGAAAGGTTTTAAAACAGATAAAAAGGTAAATAGTATCAACTCTACTATGGCATGTTGGTTTTGCAAAGATCATGTTTTATGCTCATAATCATCCTTAAAGTCAGAGAGCTCTTACATGCCTTCAATCCCCACGATGACGCTAATATTATGCCATACTGTGTAAGCTGCAAGCTTCTTAGCATTAGTCTAGTTTCTAAAGCTAAATCTAAAAACAAAAAATGAGAGTTTGCTTTTGTTGAAGAGAAAACAATTTAGAAAGATATAAAGGGAATTTCTAAGACAAAAAAAGGAAACAAAGATGATATATAACTCAAGGAAGAAAACTCCCATCTAAAGGCCCACTCAATTGGTTGTAGAACAAAGAAGGCAAGAGTGTAAAGATGCTCATAATTAGATATCTTGTAGTGACCATATACAAAATTTAACCTTTTAATGGTATAAGATTCATAGTGATTGTCAATATGGAGAGAATCAGTTCTTGGAGCACTATATGTGTCTTTTCCATTTGTTTAGCAATGGCACAAATAAATTGTCCTATGCAAACAAGAATGTTGTACAAAAGAGTGTGAACTCAACTATCAGTAGAAACACTTGTCTCTAGCAATTAACTTGCCTATAAAGAACCAAAGTTAATGCCAATTGTTCAAGCACAAAACAAAATAACATTTTACAACTATGGCCTTGCATTCTCTATTGGCTTTCTCTCTTCAAGATATATTTTGTACATACAACTCTCAATCTAGATAATAGTTGGAAAAGATATAAATGCAATTTGTGTTAAGCTAACACTATCTCCTAAATCTAGTTCAAGTTTTGTATTCAACTGGAGTGAAAAAAAGGCTTGCAAGCTGGAACAATAATAATATCTTTTTTTTGTCAAAATACTTTTGTTGATGCATATTATCCATGCAAAAATCTTTCCATGCTTTTTTTGACTTGCATTTCAAAAATCTATTCCTAGTGAATTCAATTCTATGAAGAATGTTAGTGTTAACCTTGAATGCAAGAGCTAAGGGTGAACATATATAAGATATTAATATGCTTGATAGATTGAATTTGTGAGGTAGAAAACTCCATTTGAAGAGAAGTCTAAATTTATTCTCATAAGGTGGATGTCATCCTGCTAAAAACTTCCTTTTCATAATTACAATTTTGTATTATAATATAATTCCATAAAGTTGTCATAGATCATATTAGGCTTGTTTTAACACTACATCCTCTATATATCTAGAGGGAAAATCCATAAACTAAAGAACACTCATTCATTTTAAAAACTTGATCATTGGTCAAATTGATTTCTGTATGCCAATCCTAACCTCTATATTGATCTAGACTTGTGCTTTTTGCACATGGAAGCTTTGGAGATGAGCTGGTAATTTCATAATAATAACTTTGATATTAAATTTATGTTATCTACTTTTTCCAACTACATTAGGATCCTATTTACCTGTCCTTCCAAGAGTCTTTAGAGTGTTTGGCAGCTTTTACTTGTATCTATACCTTTTTGGTCTTGCTCTAATTGTTTCTCCACTAACAATAATTTGGCTCCATGATATTGTCTCTTGAGATAATTTTAAAGTCCTTAAAGCATATACCATAACTCTAGTTGAAGTTGTTGCTATATCTGTTATATCATTTAGAATTTTAATTCTATATCTCAACTATATCCTTCTCCCAAAAGTGCAACTTAAAAAATACTTATCTAAAAAGAATAATAGATTTTCAAGAGATGTGATTAGCACATAATGAACTGTCAAAACTTCAATATCCTTTTTTTATTACAACTAGTAAGATGTTGCAAATGTGACTTCGGGTATCAAGAAATATTTATTGGCAAGTCCTTACAAACATTTTCTCTTTACTACCATAACGCCAGGAAGTCGGTATTGCTAGTTCCTTTTATGGTCTTTGCCCAAGCTTGTTGAGAAATTGGCCAGCATATATGCACTTAGATCGGAAGGGCATTAAAGAAGGAAATCATAAGTTGTCATTAAGTCAAACATACTTGATATGGTGATGAGAAATTTATATTGTTGGCTCGCACTTGTTAGCGTTAGGAACCCCTATGATATTAAGTCTAGTCATTATATAGTAGTTTATTATGTCTGCCAAACACCCTCGTTATCATGCCCTATATGTTGGTCCCATTCAATTCCACTGGCTATTTATGGAAGGTGTTTAAATATGTTAGTTGGGCATATCTAGTGAATGTAGAGATTATCCTAAACATAATAGTGTTGTTTCTATTTCCAAATTCACAATTTAACATCATTTTATATTTAGTAGATTTCACATTTATCCTAGAGACTAACTCTTGGTATTAAGGGGGGGTGGGGGGATCTGAGAGGTTCCAAGTGTATAATAGGGATAATGGGATAGGTCATGCCTAACCAATTTAAGGCATAGTTTAGTTTCTACTTGTGTGTTTGTGTTTGTTCTGCACCTAACTTGGGTTTAAGCCCAAATTTTATACCATGGTAACTAATGGAATATTTATATCCTCTTGTGTTAAACCACCAGGATGCTAAAATAGCATTAAACTTTGTTTGGCTCTATTTTGCATATTAATCTTAGCATTGGGATGTAAGATGCTCTAGAACCGTTCTTATGTCATTTTATACTTCTGTCCTTTCACTTTTTGGGCTAAACGCTTAGAAGTCACTACGTGCATTTTAAAATTCTTTTATCAACCCTTCCTATAAACAAGCAAGCCACATAATTGCCTTCTTTGATTTTTCATATGTATCTATCAAAGTTTTCAGAGATATAAAAAAATAGAGAAATAGTGATAAGAAGATTTGAGCTCTTAGGTGATACCATTCACTTGATTCCTCTAATATTCTCAAGAAATTTCCTTAAATTTTCAAGTACACATGAATAAGAAAGAACCCACTTAAATCTATTATCATAAACAAATAAGGATTTTTAAATTCTCAATAAAATTAAGTAAAAAACCCACTTCAAATCTCTAATGAAATTTTAAATCAAAAACAGAAAAATGGTTTAAATTTACAATAAAAATTATATAAACTTTCTAGATTCTTATGACTTTTAAAATCCTACAACATAGAAAATTGGAACCACTTTAAAAACATTTAACTATGAAGCCCTACATTTAAATAGTTGCAATTAGAACTAACTAAATATAACTGATATATATACAGTACTTATATTGCCAAACTTCATTCTTATTTTTATTTCTAGATTTCTACTTAATTTTTAATGTAAATGTAAAATTTTTTACACTTTAAAATTTTTTTCAACCTTTCTAGATTTCAATATAAAAATAAAATTCCTTGGAACCAATTTAAAAATATATATCTATAAAACCTTCATTTAAATAAGTATAATTTTTCAAATTAAATATAGCTAGTATATATATAGTACTCATGTTGGCCAAACATCTTGATGCATTCATATTTATTTTATATTCTCTTTTTATGTTTGAATTCTTTCTTAAATCATTAAAATCCAAAATACAAACTCTTATTATATAATGATGAAATGAATATAGAGTAGAATATCTTTATAAAGTCAATATTATGTATAAGAGATCCTAATTCACCATTAAAGTGTATAAATGCTAAAGAAGCATTATTAGCCTTCCACAT